CACTGAGTGGCCTTCTTTCATGAGTGTATCTGTATTGTGCCTTCCTGACCTAATTGTTCAATCTTTCCAAATACAGACCTTGACTTTCTCAGCAAACTCATTCACTGCCAGACCAATCTTGGTACCTAGGTTCTACATAAACACTTGTTTTATGAATTAGCAACTCAATTTCACTAAATATATTACCTGGGTCTACAGATCATTTATAACCATGCAAAATTACAGATCCAGCCTCTGGTAGAATTTACTATAAAAAATGTCATTATTTTCTGTCTCCTAGCCAGTTCATCCATTCATAGCAGAAGTTTCCCAACCCCCAGGATAAATTATTTTTTCTTATGGCCTTCAGTTTGCATCCTGTCAAGACGGGTTGAGAAAGTGTTAATTTCTCCCAGTTTTTCCATGTCCATTGACTCATCCAAGGAAACTTATAGCTTAACTTGAGCTTCTTGTCTTGCCTCTGTTTGTACAACTTTCCCCCTCACCATCTTTAATCCAGGGGCATCTTTGGTGGGTTTTGGGTCTTTGTAAATAGAAAAACTTAGCAGCAGGCTGGTTGAATTGCCACAAAACTATTTATTTTTTTTTTGGAAATGAAAAACTGTACAAACCAGGTCTGAATTTCTGAGAAAATAGGTTAAGGGACTTGGTACTGGTTGCAGAATTCAGTATTCCCCAAATATAAATATACGCTTGTGACATATTACTCAAAATGAGACAGTTTCACAAATTATTTCTTGCAAGTGAACCCCTGTCCAAGGGCTGTGTGTTAGGGGTCTGCTAAGCTGTGCGTTCTACAACTGGGATCCATGCTAAAATTAACTATTGAAACTTAAGAACCCAGAATTCTTCCTTCTGATCTTGGAGCCCATGTTTTGTTTCTCTATTTGTCCTTTGCTGCTTTCTTTAGCAGTGTTTTCTAGAATAACACTTTAATTCCTTTTAGTGGTCTTTTTGCTTATATATTTTGATCTATTTAATTAGTGGTTGCTCTAGTGTTTATCATATACAGCTTATCAGAACCATCTTCAATTTGTACTAACCTAATATTTTAGTGAGATAAAGAAACATTACTCTTTTTTTTTTTTTGGTAGTACTGGGGTTTGAACTCAGGGCTTCACATTTGGGAGGCAGTGCTCTACCACTTGAGCCACACCTCCAGCCCAAGAAGCATTACTCTTATGTATCTGTATTTCCTCTCTCTTTTTTTGTGCTATTATTTTATACATATTACATCTATAAAGATTAAAAATGTAATAATATATTGATATGATTATTTTATAGTTTTATGTCTATTAAAGAAATGGAGAAAAGGAGAGCAAAGCATTTGTGGGCTTTGCTATATTTACCCTCTTATTAACCACTTCTGCTTCTCTTTATTGATTCATGTGTGTTCCAGTTACCATCTGCTGTCTTTTCTTTAATACAGCATGACTCCCAATAACTGCTTTGGGCTGTTATTGTCAAGTATGCCTATATGTTATAGGCTCAACAATGCAATTATATACATACTGTTTTACACGATTTCCTTTTAAAACAATCAAGACATATGCATTTATACAGTGATTAATTCCATAATTTCTGATTACTCTGTTTCTATGTATGGATTCAAATTACTGCTTGGGGTCGTATTCTTTCAGCATAAGGACTTCTAAAACGTAGAATTTCCATTTGTTTCTTCTATATAATTTACACCTCTTTATTGATATTCTCTATTTGATGAGACATTATCATCAAAGCTTGCTTTACTTTTTTTTTGAATTGGAATTTTGTATCAAGATAAAATTCACATACCACAGACTTTATACTTTTAAAATTCATAACTTAGTAGATTTTAGCATATTCACAAGTCTGTAAAAACATCACTACTATCAAATTCTAGAACATATTTATCATCCCCCAAAGAAACTTCATGCCCATTAGCAATTACTCTCCACTGTCCTCCTCTCTCTAATATAAACCCTTGGTAACCACTCATCTATTTTATGTCTTTATGGATTTGACTATTCTGGATATTTCAAGTAAACAAAAGCATAAATATGTGCTATTTTGTATCTGGCTTCATTCGCTTAGGATAATGTTTTCAAGATTCATTCATATTATAACAAGAATCAGTGTATCTCTGTGACTGGATGAATAATATCTGGTTTTACTTATTCAAACATCAGTTGGCAAGCATTTGAGTTGTTTCCGTTTTGGCTATTATAAGTAGTGCTATTGTCAATATTTGTATGCAAGTTTCAGTATGGATATATGCTTTCACTTCTCTTGGGTATATACCTAGCAAAGGAATTGCACAGTCCCATGGTAAATATGTTTAGCCTTTTTGTGGGTGTTGGGGATCTAACTCAGGGCCTCATGCATGCTAAGTAACTGCTCAACCACTAGCCCCTATTAAGGAACTGAGAAACTGTTTTCCAAAGTGATGGCACCATCTTACATTCCCATGAATAGTATATGAGGGCTTAATTTTTCCATTTTTTAGCCAACATTTGTTATTGTTTCTCTTTTTATTAAGTCATTTCTTTTTTTAGTTTGTTTTTGATGGTACTGGAGTTTGAACTCAGGGCCTCATGCTTACTAGGTAGGCACTCTACCACTTGAGCCACTCCACCAGCATTGTTTCTCTTTTTAATGATAGTTTCTTTTTTTTGGTGGTACCGGAGAATGAACACAGGGTCTTGTGCACGTGAGGCAAGCTTTCTACCACTGAGCTACAAAGCCTTTTTAGTGGATGGCAAATTACGGTATCTCAGTGATTTGGATTTACATTTTGATAATGTTTAATGGTGTTGAGCCACTTTATATCTTTTTTGTAGAGATGTCTATTCATATCCTTTGCCCATTTTAAGATTGAATCATTTGTCATTTTATTGTTAAATTGTAGTAGCTCTTTATATTCTGTGTACTAGCCCTTATCAGATACATGATTTTCAAATATTTTTCCCCACTATACAGGTTGGTTTTTTTTTTTATTATTCATATGTGCATACAAGGCTTGGGTCATTTCTCCCCCCTGCCCCCACCCCCTCCCTTACCACCCACTCCGTCCCCTCCCTCTTCCCCCCACCCCCTCAATACCCAGCAGAAAATATTTTGCCCTTATTTCTAATTTTGTTGTAGAGAGAGTATAAGCCATAATAGGAAAGGAACAAGGGTTTTTGCTGGTTGAGATAAGGATAGTTATACAGGGAGTTGACTCACATTAATTTCCTGTGCGTGTATATTACCTTCAAGGTTAATTCTTTTTGATCTCACCTTTTCTCTAGTTCCTGGTCCCCTTTTCCTGTTGGCCTCAGTTGCTTTTAAGGTATCTGCTTTAGTTTCTCTGCATTAAGGGCAACAAATGCTAGCTAATTTTTTAAGTGTTTTACCTATCCTCACCCCTCCCTTGTGTGCTCTCGCTTTTATCATGTGCTCAAAGTCCAATCCCATTGTTGTGTTTGCCCTTGATCTAATGTCCAATATACGGATTATTGTTTCATTCTCTAGATAATACCTTTGAGGTAATACATTTTTAGTTTTGCAAAGTTCAATTTATCTTTGTTCTCCTTAATGTGCTGTGCCATTCTAAGAAAGCATTTCCCAATCCATGGTCGCAAGGATTTCCACCTATCTTTTCTTCTAAGAGTTTTAGTTTTAGATCTTTCATCTATTTTTATATATGTTGTGAGGTAGGAGTCCTATTTCATACTTTTGTATGTGAGTAACCTATTTCTCGGTATCATTTGTAGAAATGATTCTTTCCCTTATTTAGTTGTCCTGGGGTCATTGTCAAGAATCAATTGACCATCGATGTTAGAATTTATTCAGGTCTCCCAAATCTATTTCAATGATCTCTATGTCAACTTTTATGCCAGTGTCTCACAATTTTGAGTTCTCTAGCTTTGTAATAAGTTTTGACACTGGGAAGTGTGAATTCTTCAACATTGTACTTTTTCAAGATTTTTTTGATAGGTTTGGGTCTACTGTATTTCTATATAAAATTTAAGATCACCCTTAAACAAAAAAGAAGCACAAAAAAGAAGCAGTTAGGAATTTTATAGTGACCGTGTTCGATCTACAGAGGCCAACTTCTGCCGCTGTAACTCTGGACAAGTCCCTTTGACTCTTGGGCTTCACTTTCCCACTTTATAAAATGGGAAGGAAGGGTTGGATCCAGGAGTCTCTATGGTCCCTTCCTACCCAGACATCATAATTAAGTTTGAAGCCAGGCATGGTGGCACACATTTGTAATCCTAGCACTGGAAGGCTGAGGCAGGAGGATGGCAAATTTGTACTACTTAATAGCTTTTGTACAGACGTATACTCTCCATCCTCACTTCACACTCTACTTCCCACCACCTTCTATAATAATACCCAACGTGGTTTCCCTGAATTTTATTGATACAGTAATAAGTGAGAATTGTAGGAGCTAAGACCTGGAGGCATTTCTTGACAAAAAGACAGGACATGGGCCTGACTACTCCAGGAGTCCAGAGACAAAAATAAATATTCTCACTGGTATAGTGATACGCAGCTGTAATCCCAGCTCTTGGAAGCCTAAGGCAGGATGGCTTCAGGCCACTCTGGGCTGCATAGCCTCTATCTATGTTCCAATGCTGATCAAGTCTAGGAGCCTCACACAGTTAATGTTGGGCTCATACCACACTAGAAAAGTTGGCTTGGAACTGCAGATGTGGCAGTCTATTAGGTTTGACAGTCCTGTGACTTGAGAGTTATCCTGCTTTATTTTTGAGCTTATCCTTCTTGTTCAATAAAATGGGGATAGTTATATTCCTCCTCCCCATAGTGAGGATAAAATGAGATCAAGGGGAAGGTGGTCTATAGAGTAGAAATTACAATGAAATAGTTTTTTTTTTCCTTTCAGTGGTACAGCATTTAAACTCAGAGCCTTGTGCCTGCTATACAGGAGCTCTAGCACTTGAGCCATGCCTCCAGCCCTACAATGAAATATCTTATAGCTACCCACCCCTACCACAAAAAAGATCGAGTCATAGTGAAGTCTTCCTAACTTTTATTGGCACTGAAATAGAACATGGGTTGAGCATAAACCCCTCCAAAACAATTTTTAAAAAACCCAAAAATACACATAAAACCTGAATATAAAATCTAACCTTTCTCCCCAACCTCCCTGGGGTGGGTTACTGCCCTTAAGGCAACTAGATTGCCCCACAATTCCAGATTTGAATTTAACTGATATAGGACATATCACCTAGTAAGTGTCAATATAATTCACAGCAATGCATACAAGACTCCCCATGGTTAAGTGGTGTATGGGATGGGGGGAGGCTGAGGGAGGTTCTGGGCTAGGGGAACTGGATGGAGGGACAAGACAGCCCCTTGGGTACTAAACCCTGGGGAGAAGGCAAACAGGAACAATAAAACCAAATAATAAGTACTTTAAAAACTGGATTGTATGACCTATAGTGACAGGTAACATCACTAATACTGAAAGCTTACATAATTGTTTCTGGCAAAATATTCTTTAATAATATAGTATATGCTTCCTAGGTGTAGGGGTGATAAAGGAATGAGGCCAAAATGATTCTGCCCCAAGACTAACATCTATTAATACTGCATTAGCAAGAAAGGCAGAAATCAATGTTGATTAGATATCACTAGAATATATAATACTGGCAGAAAGTAAAAGAGCAAACAGGAGATAGGACAAAGAAGCTGCTCCTGGCATGAGAGCAAGAGGTGGGGGTGTGGAAGGGACCAGGCCAGAATACTCAGAAGCTCTATGGTATATAGTTCCAAGGGACAGCACAGCTGGTGACAAGACCTGGGTTAGAGGTTTGTCAGAGGCAGGGCCCAGTCACCACCTTGGAACAGGGGTGATGAGCAGGGACTATTGGGCACCTGAGAGGGTTGAGTAAACTGTGGGACTAGAGGCAAGGCATTCTCTCTCTACACAGATTCCTCTATGTACTCCCTAATTGAGCCTACTGGCAGCAAAGATCTAGGACTCACTGAACCAAGGCCTGCTGTGAAGCAGGAGCTGTGGCTCTAGTATCTCTGATAGGGGAAGTGGCCTAGAACTCCTGGCATAGAAAACACTGAAGCCAGATGTGAACATTTCCTCCCTTTTGGTAAGAGCTATAGGTGAGGCTGGCTGAGCTTTGTGTTACTCATCCCTGCTGTTCTAGCTGGAGGAGATTTGGGGATTGGAGGGTAAAGAGACAGATGCAGAGAAATAACCAAGGACCTGGAATAAAAAGGGGTACCTCTGCCCATAGGCTTACATGACACAAGCTTAGGCTCCCATAAGGCATAGGGGCAGGATCTCTTACCCATCCTTGCCTGAACAGAAGAGTCAATGGCCTTCTGGGATGTCAGTGAAGCCTCTTGAAGGCACTGTCTCCCCCATCCCACCCTGGGGAGAAAATGAGTCCCTGAACTCAGGGACAAGGCTTATTGGGACTGAGTTTTTAACAGGCCCAACCTAGGAGGTAGAAACAAGAATGACTACACATCTCTTTATCCTCCAATCATTACAAAGCCTAAATAACTCTAAAAGGGATGGGCATTAGGAGGCCAAATCCTAGGTCAGGTGACATACTAGAGCAGATAGCCAGGGCTCTGCCTCCTTACCTAAACCCTGTGATACTCCAATCTTTCAAATCACAGGACTTGAAAGAGGAAGGCTGTGGTGAGGCACAGGAGGGGAGCTAGCTTTCAATCTACTCCACACTTGATTCCCATAAGATAACAGTAAGTGTGGGAGTGTTTGCCAAATCTAGTGGAAAGTGCCTCTGAGCTGGGGAAGTGGTCTTTCTAGCAAGCTAAATTAAATGGGACAGAAAAGGAAAAAAGAGTCCCATTGGCACCACAGTGGGCTATTTGTCTGCCCAGGGATGTGAGTGGGGGCTGAGGAAGTAGATTTGGTCCTATGGCTGCACTGAATGCTTGGCATGATTCCAGGGCTGCTCTAGTTAGTGGCTCCAGCACAGTGTGAGTTACGCAATGGTATAGAGTGTGGAGGCAAGGATGAAGGGAGGAGGGGTCCCTGGAGGCTGGGTGCCCATTACATGGATTCAAACTCATCAATGCGCTGCTTGGTGTTGCCCTGTCGAATCTGGCGCAGGGTCTTGTATTTGTCTCGGCCCAGTCGCATGTTCTCAGCATGGATCATGTCATTGGCAGTCTTCTTGGACTCATCACGGGCATTCGCCAGCTCTGAAGTGAGGGCCTGTGGGAATGCAAGGGTCAGTGGCTTCCTCTCATTTTAACTCCACTTGATCAGATTTTTCTTCTGTTCCTTTCCCTTCCTCTCTCCAGCCCATATCACCCATATGAACTGACATAGGACAGAGAAAGAGAGAAAGAGAAAGAGAAAGAGAGAGAGAGAGAGAGAGAGAACAAACACAAGAGAGCACGCCATTTCCAACTTTACTAGTACTACAGTGGGCAAGAATTAAAACACACATACTTAGGTAACTAATTGATGATGGTGAGTATCCCTTGAAGAGTAGAACAATACACAAAAGATTCAGGTAGGAATTTTTTCTTCTAGCTATGTTGTGAATGTAAGTGGGGCAGAGAAAAAAATCAAAAAGGGAGGAGGTGCCTCCCCTTTAAAGTTTCACTTGAAATAGGCTCAGACTCCCATACAGCACTGAGATAGGCTGCTATACCTATCCCTACATGATAGTCTAGGAAATGCCATGGGCTATTAAGTCAATGCACACAGTCTCCTTTCCCTGACTCTTGCACTCTGCTTAGCTACCTTCAGATGCTTCTGCACACGCTCGTTCTTCTCTGCCTCAGTGGTACGTTCCTCCTCACTGCGGTCCTTGGCCATGGCATCAGCCCGCAGGTCAGCACTGGCCTCCGCCCCGTTCTCATCCTGTTCATCCTGCTCATTCTCAGCAGGCTCCGCCACATGAGGTGTACTCATGGCAGTCTTCAGCTCAGCACGTGTCTTCTCTAAGTCTTCCTGTACCATCTGGGCCTGTTCAGAGACAGAAAAAGAGGAACTGGCAGTCAGACCAAGTAACTTTTGGCAACCTCAGCATGCTCATAACAGTCTGTACGAGGCAGACAGCAGGTGGAATAAGTCACTTCATTTGCCTGATCCCTAGTTTTCTCAGTTGTAAAATAAGAACATTTGTACCACCTTCCAAGGGGCATTGAGGAATTCTGTAAAGTGCTTAAGAAAGCCTCTCATAATGCCTGTTGTCAAAGATTAAAAAGAAAAGGAAGCCCAAATCTAAGGAATTTAAGAAGTTGGAATATATACATGTGGTACTTCCCCTACACAATGCTTTGCTGAGTGCTGTACCTTACCTTCTGCTGCCACTCCACAGCCTCACTCTCCTTTTTCTGTCGGGCCATTTCCAGCTGAGAGATCCGAGCTGTCAGCTCTGCCATTTCTGAAGCCTATGGATAAATAAGAAACCTGTGAGAGCTGGGCCTTCTGGTCCTCAGGGACCTAGTGTTTGCCACCCCAGTCCTGCTGGGAAACCAGTAGGGAACCTGCTGCTCCACTTGCTTGCAGTCCAGTGGCTCTTTTAGCCAAACCACTCCATTCCAGTCCCATCTTCCATACCCACCACTTCCTTTTAAGTCAAAGCTAGACTATAGGTCTCCTGAAACAAACAACATGTCACCTCTGTCCCTCTTCCTCTCTCAATATTGCCAAGAATGCATGTAGTTGGGGCCTTAGGAAAGCTTTAGAGATCACTGTCTGAAAGGTAGACCCTTCCCTGCTGTCCTAGAATGCTCAGGTCTCCACTAAGACTCTTCCCAGAACAAGTATAAGAAAGATACTCAAGTATCACAAGGCAATCTGAACAAGGGGGAAAAAAAGTTTATGCACACCCTCACACCTTGGGCAAACTGCCCATGATAGCCTCTTCCTGAGAGATGAGGCTTAGTTCTCTCTATTCCCACCCAAAGTAGTACAAAGGAAGAGTACATGCCAAGGAATCTGGGACACAAATTTTTATTTCTAACCCTTGGGAATTATGAAAAAATGCATGGATGCTCATCCTAGTCCCCCACCCCAAAATGCTTGGACACACAGTTTTGCATGTGACTTTATGGAACAGGCAGCAGAAAAGGAATGCAATCTTTGCTCAACCACAACTCACAGTTAAGAGACTTTGGCAAGTCTCTTAATCAACCTGAGACCTAATTTCCTTATTTGGGCATATTATCCTATCTGAGAGCTAATCCCATAGGGATAATGGAAAAATTAAGAAAGCAAGGAAAAGGAAAATATGGCTAAGATAAACACACACAATAGGTACTTAACTAATTATGAGTCCCTTTTATTTCTTTCCTTCTTCCCTTTTCCTTTGCCAGGTTAGCAAGTCAGATCTTCAAGGAATAAGAAAGTGAATAAAAACTAAATGTTAGGGAAAACCTTTGGTGAAGTTCGAGGGGCCTATGCCAGTGCTTCTCAGCTTGCTTCTGAATGAGCTATTAGAGAGACCTGTGGCGTGGAAACGTGCTGGCAAGAGTAAGTCCTGTAAGCAGAGGTAGCTATAGATAGATCAGCAGACAAGGAAGAAAATGCAGATCCCACAACTCCAACCAATTGTGCAGCTTTACCAACTGTTCCTGAGTCTTCTTCTGGTCCCGAGAAGCCTGAAGCAGGGCCTCCTTGGCCTCCTCAGCTTCTTGACGCTCCCTGGCCAGCTTTTCAGCCTCGCTCTGGGCACGCTTCCGTTCCTGCTCAAGTTCCAGAGCCCTGCGAGTCTGTTCTTCCAGTTCTGAGCAGAAAAAGCAGGGAGAAGATGGTGAAGGGCACAGAGGTGAAGTTGACATGTGAGCTTCCTTCCCAGAAATGTTTCGCCTCCATGGCAAAGCTAGCAGAAGGTTCTGAGAACTCTTCTTGCCTCATCCTTCATCTACTCTGTGACCACACCTGGACTACATGGCCTCAGTCTATAGCTCAGGCAGAAGGGTCTCCAGCTCAAGGAAAGGTTCTGGGGAAAGCCAATCTCCAAGATGACCCTAAGCCTCACCTTGCTGAGCCTTCTTAGTCTGTTCCTCAATCTGTTTCAGCTTCTCCATCAGTTCTTCCTTCTCCCGTTCAATCTTTTCCTTCTCCTTTTCTGCCATCTCACGCTTCTTCTTCTCATTTTCCAGAAGAGCACTATGGAAGGAACAGGAGAGATGTAACAACATAGTAAAGTTGCATGGAAACCGAATTTCCTGGCCCTGTGTTCCTAAGCCTCCACCCTTCCAACACATCCAGGGTTTATAAGCTTGAACCACTCTCCCTTTCCTCTATATCCCTGCCCTTACATTATAGCCCCATATGGGCTGGTATACTCAGGGCCCAGTCTGTTTGCCCCCAAGTCAGGAGACCCAAACTGGAATCCTTGCTCTCAGAATAATCCACCGGATGACTTTAGTTATGTTGCTACTTTGCTCTGTCCTCAGTTCCCCTATCAGTAAAATGGCCTACTAATTCCTGACCTATCTGTCTTGTGGAATCATAGGAAACAAGTTTTGTCTTTGTGTTGGGATGTCATACTTCAAGTCTGGAGATTTCTGTCCCTTGGTGAATGTCTTTTCTTCCTCTGAGCCTTCAGAATACTTGGTATACCCTTTCCCACATGTCTTATTTTCCACTGCTCAATATATATGTATGAAATGAATGACACAGCCATTTTGTGTGTGTGTGTGTGTGTGTGTGTGTGTGATCTTTCCCTCTCTCTCCTACTAGATTGTGAGGTCACAGAGGGAAGGTTCCTGCCAGATGCAGCTCTGTAAACTACTCTCCAATCCTGGTAAATTTTTTCTTAATAAATGTGATCCTTGGTGTCTAAACATTCATATATGGAGTAATTTCCAGCGTACTAGATTAGAATCCTTCTGAGATTCCAAATTCTTTATGACAGAGTACCTACTAGAGCAGTGCTCCTCGAACCCTAACATGCCTAAGAATCACCAAGGACTGACCTTCGTAGTTCATTGAGATGAAATTCACGTAATATAAAATTAACCATTTTAAAGTGAACAACTCAGTGGCATTTAGCACATTCACAATGTTGTGCAAGCACCACTTTTTCTAGTTCCAAACATTTTCATTACTCCAAAGTAAAAGCCCATACCCATCAAGCAGTTTCTCCCCATCTTCCCTCCCTAGTCCCTAAAAACCACCAAACTACATTCTGTTTCTATAGATTTTTCTCTTCTAGATTACTTCCGATAAATGGAATCTGACTTCTTTCACTTAACATTATATTCTAGAGGTACCTCCACATTGTAGCATATATGGCTGAGTAATATTCTGCTCTAGTTTAGATATGGTCTATCCCTTCCCATCAAAGTTTCACATACTAGGGGTTTGCTCCCCAATGTAATGGTATTGAGAGGTGGTGAAACCTTTGAGGTGGAGCCTAGTGGGAGATGATTAGGTCACTGGGGGAACCATTCTCAAAAGTGATTAATGCTTGTCTGGAGGGAGTGGATTAGGACTCACAGGACTAGATTAGTATTTGAGACAGTGGCTTGTTATAAAGTGAGCCTGGCACGTCTCCTGAATTGATCTTCCACATGTGACACTCTCCATTTTTGCACATAATGGAGACGTAATGTCTGCCATGTTATGAAACAGTATGAGGCTCTCACCAAATGTAGCAGCCCAATCTTGGACTTCTCAGCCTCCAAAACCATCAGTCAAAATAAACCTCTTTTCTTTATAAAATACTCAGCCTCATGTATTGTCACAGTAACACAAAATAGATTAAGATATATTCCATTATGTATATTTACAATTCATTTATCCATTTATCCACTGACAAACATTTGGGCTATTTCAACCTTTTAGTTATTTTCAATAGTGTTGCTATGAACATGTGTGTACATGTATTTGTCTAAACATACATTTTCAATTTTGTTGGGTACTTATCTAGAAGTGGGATTGCAAGATCATGTAGTAATTCTATTTTTAACTTCTTGAGGAACTGTCAAACTGTTTTCTGCCATTTCACATTCCTACCAGCAATGTACATGAGTTGTAATTTCTCCACAACCTCATTAACACTTATTTCTCAGTTTTATTTCTCTTCTTGGCAGTACTGGGGATTGAACTTAGGGCCTCACACTTGCTAGGCATGCATTCTACCATGTGAACCATCCCACCAGCCCTCCAGTTCTCTTTCTTATAGCCATACTAATGAATGTAAAGTAGTACCTAATTATGGCTTTCATTTGAATTTCCCTAATGAGTAAGGATATTTTCCTGGGCCTACTGACTATCTGCATATCTTCTTTGGAGAAACAGTCAACCTGGGATCTTAAGATGCAGATTCTCATCAGTAAGTCTAGGACAGGGTCTCAGAGCTTGCCTTTCTTAATTCCCAAGTTGATGCTGATGCTGTTAGCCTCAGATTACTTGGAATATCAAGGACTAAGGGCTTTGTAGGGAAAATTCTGGGGGCTTTGCCCATTTCTACTCCAAATACCCTGCAGAATTCAGGCTCAAATGTGTCTGGAGCCCTTGGCTACTATCACTATATTGGTCAGTTAGCCTGGAGCAATCCAGAGTCTACCTGGTACAGCAATGGCGTGAGGGTCATAGACAATGGGAAACTATGAAATGCCCCTCCCTCTTATAAGCCTCTGAAATCTTAAGATCTGATGCCTGCTTCCCAAGAACAAGGATGCTCATGCCTGAGACTAAATGTAGGGGCTATCATCCCTAAACAGTTCATTTATTTCCAGTCCTGGGTTGGCTTCATATCCTGTCTTGGCAGGCTGGGCACCTTTGAGAGGCTTCTTTACCCCAGGTCTGCAGCACCTACCGTTCCATCTGTTTCTGGTGCTTCTCCTCCCGGGCCTGTGCCTTCATCTGCTGTACCTCAATGGTGTCAGGCTTGCGACGGCGCATGTATAGCTCATGGTTCCCCATGCACAGGGCCAAGATCCGCTTGTTAATCCTCAGTCGGGGAGCATAGAAGACAAAGTCCTGGTGAGAAAACAGCAGTCAAAAAAGAGTCTGGAAGAGGTTGAACTTGAGCTTCTACCTACTGAAAAGTTAAATCCAAAAACATGGAGAGACTGTTTAATTCCATCCTTTGCACTACAGATGGGAATGATTCAGGGTGGTGAAGTGATTTGCCCAGAGTCAGACAGCAGTTTTGCAGTAGACCCAAGACTAGAACCCAGGTTTCTTGTCTCTAAGACCAGTGCTCTTTCCACCAAGCCACAGTTTCTTTCAACCTTTAGTTAAGAAAAGCATCCTAAAATACCCTCAATTCAGTTGAAGGATTAGAACTGACTTTCTCTGCTAATTAGGTCTCACTGAATTCTAAGGGGAGGGTCTCTCAGAAGCCAAACAATCCCTGTATAATACCATAATGGGTACAGTGTGAGTGTTGAACTGTTTTTGTAATCTCCAAAAGGCATATCCTAGACCCAGCCCCTTAAACTGTTCTTGGAACAAGGCAGGTTTTAAATACATACATGAACACATAAATCCCTAAACATTGATTGTCCTGGGCGTTGTTTGTTAAATAGGCCCTTGATCTCAGCTGGCTTTGTTACTTACCTTTTTCTGATGAATGTTGAGCACAGCAGCAATAAAAAAAACACACATAAAAAAACCCAGTGAGTTTGAATTTCTTACTACAGATACCACTGGACCAAGGTCACCAGCCAATGAGCTAACCACCATCTCCTCTGCCACTGAACCCAAATTGCTATCATTCATATACCTTAGGGTAGAATGGAAGGAGCACAGGCTCTTAAAGTCGAATAACCCAGCTCTAATGTTTTTAGCTGAGGAAATCACTCCATCTCTCTGAATCTCAATTTCATCAATTCAGTGGGTATGCTACTACACACCTGCCCATGTAGTTGAGGCTTTAAGGAGATAACATATATTTTTACTTAACAGGGGAAATTCAGACATCTCAGAGCTGGAGAAGGGTGAGCCCTCACAAAATAGTTCAGGGTCAGCATGGCCACTGGCTCTTCTTGGAAACAAGGTACACCAGGAGAACAGAACCTCATCTCAGATTTCTATCATACTCTCAATTGACAGCCTTCTGGTCTTATTAGCTGCAGGCAACTGAGTGAGTGAGAAGTGTGATGGATCTGCTAAAGTAAGGACTGGACTCAAAGCATTTTCTTCATCTTAGGTTGTTCTGGAGAAAAGTCTGAGTGGGCAGCAATAAAGCTATAGAAAAAAACCAAATTTGGAAGATCATCTTTAGAGCTGGATTTCTCCTGGCTCTGCCCTTTTTCCACAATTAAAGATAAACCAAACACATGAACAGTGTCTGCCTTCTGAGCTCAGGGACTTGGAAAGGTGAGGTGCATTCTGTTTCCACCACAGTACTCAAAACAAAAGGTGATGGCTAAGAAGCAGAACTTAGGACTGTCTGTGCTACTCCCCATTCACAGAGGAAGATGGATATTAGGGTGGCACCTGAGACACAGATAGCAGAATGGCACCAGCTACAGGATGCCTTCTGGCCATTTGTTAGCACTGATATCCCATTTCATCTCAGTTTCCATTTATGCCTCCTGCTCATATGTGCATGTACACCTGCATGTATATGCACACACACCAGAATAGGAAGACAAAAACTATGATGTGATTGCTCCTAGCATTATCCAAACCTTAGCAAAGTACCTGTCATAGTCAGAGGGAGGGGTCACTCACCGGAGCTTTTTTGTCAATAGGCTTGATGACAAATTTCTTATCATTGAAAGAGATGTTCCTGATTTCACTCCAGGGAAAGCCAATCTTAGGAGTCAATCTGTACAAATGGAGACCACCAACATCAGGACAAGGGCAAGACAAAAAGACATAGAGAGCTAGTGCCCCCACATAAAAACTTCTTCCTTGAGAAAGTAGACCCATTGTCAGTTCAACCTGTGTATTACATGGCACCGAGTCAATTGCCAGCATTGAGGTTGCATAAAAGACTTCCTTATACACAACCAACATACTTCTTGTTCTTATCTCCAAGATTTGTTTTGTTCCATTTTTGGTTGAGGCACAGACCTTGTAATCCTGCAAGAGAATCTTAGCCCTATTTAACTGATATACACACATATATATATATATGTGTGTGTGTGTATATACATATATATAATGAATTCCATGATTCAGAAGTTATATGGAATGATAATCAAGACTCCATCTTCACCCAAGGCAAACCAAAGGGGAAAATAAGCAAGTGAGATAAGGCTATGGCAAAGATTATAGGCCAAAAGTACTAAATCATTACATGGGACTTAAACCTAATTACAAATCTTGACAAAATACATTCTAGGTCCATACTGTACCCCCCAGAAAATGCAATGAAAGTCACATATATAATTTTAAGTTTTCTATGCCATGTGAAAATGAGTGAAAAACAAATAGGTGGAACTAATTATAATAATAGTTTAATTAACCCAATATACCCCAAATACTATCATTTGAACATGTAAGCCAAAATTTAAAAAAAAATTGAGACATTTTACATTCTATTATTATCTTAGCTCTAAAAGGTTCCCCAAAAGCTCATGTGGTTTGGTCTATACCTAATGGCATATTGGGAGATGGTGGAAATTTTAGCAGATAGAGCCTAGTTGAAGGAAGCAGGTCATTGGTGCCAGGCCCTGGAAGGGTGTTTTAAGAGCCCAGCTCCTTCCTCTCTCACTCTCTGCTTCCTGGCTGCCATGAAGTGAGCAGCTTTACTCTATCCATGCTCTCTACAGGCCCAAAAAGCAATCGGGCCAAGCAACCATGGACTGAAACCTCTGAAATCATGAGCTAAAATAAATCTTTCCTCTTTTAAGTTGATTTCTCTTAGGTACTTTGTCACAATGACAGCGAGGTGACTAACACACATTTGTTTTTTGACATTACGTCTTTAAAGTCTGGTGCATACGTTATAACATGCTTTATAGTAGCAACATTTTAAGTGCTCAATAGCTACATGTGGGTAGTGGCTACCATGGTGGACAGCACAAGTCTAGTCAATACAGGATTTAGAGGTTTAAGTGAGGTTGTACAATCATCTGGGCTAGACTAAATTAGGAAGGAAAAGAACTAAGAACATGGTGAGGGTTGAGCCCTATGTGTCAAAATGACCCAAATAAACTAAGAGAAGTCTGAAGTATACCTGTCATTCTGCTCATAGATGTTGAGACCCAGGGCATCAACCCCCAGCCACAGCTCTGAGCCTTTCTTGTTCTTGATGCTGAAGTAGTTCACACCATACATCTCCAGGTCTTGAGCAATCTTCAGATATTCCAGGACAGCATCCTCCCTAAATGACGACAGGCAGGAAAGGGTATGTGCGGAGGGAAGTCTGTGAATCAGACTCAGGAAGACAGAGAAGCTTGCTTGCTTTCTGTTTCTGACAAGAATCTGGCTATCAGGAATAGGAAAGGGGATAGAATGAGCAGATAATGGAGAATGGAGAATGCACATGACTTTTGTCACACAGAAGCTGCTATTAGGAACCCAAAGTCCGAAACTCTCAAGAGGAATAAGGGTAGGCCGACCCTTGCTGGCCTCTGGAATGTTAGTTGCCATAGAAGCTATTTTCTTCCTACCATTCACTATGCAAGCCTCTTTTATACAAGCACCCTTTTTAGATAAGGTGGTGAAGGAAAATGATGAGGTTTGTCCCTCAACTAGAAAACTCCCAAATGCTTTGCAATGTACAAGCAACTTTCCCACTTCCTTTCAGGGGAGGAACAGTATACTAGGTAGCCCAGAAACTCCCTAGGGATCCTGAGGTCCCCTCCATTTCTTTGTGGTCCAAACTATTTAGGCTACTAGCGGCCACCATTCATCTAAACAAACAACAGCAGTCTTAATAATGGTTCAGGTTTGACTTCTAAAGTGCTGGAATCAGGCTAGAGGCATGGCTCAAGTGGTAAAAGTGCCTGCCTAGCAAGCACAAGGTCCTGAATTCAAACCCCAGTATCACCAAAAAAAAAAGTTTAAGTACCAGAATCTCCCTTATCTCTCTCTCTAACATTCACCAAAGTCCCAGGTCATCTGCCTCTTTTCCTTAGAATCCAATGTCATTCTCCCTAGAAAGGCAGTGGGGCCCATAGCTGGTAAGACAGACTTACCTAAGCATGCCCCGGTGTTCCTCATGCCACACCTGGATCCGCTCCTCCCACTGGTCCTTATTGAGTTTGTGCTGCTCCAGGACTCTGGAAAGCCAATGGATGGTAAGTGCAAAGACCATGGGCAGGAGGGAAACTAAGAGGTTGGTGAAAATGTGAGGTCAGCCCATTTAAGGTCCGTCACACTGGACTCAGACTGAAATTACTGTAGAAGGTATTAGACATAAGGAGCTGCTAAGAGGTAAGAGAGCTACAAGAATGGATGACCAAGAAGGACAATGGGATAATCTTCCTTTGTATCTTTAACCAGAAAACTCAATAATGTGCTTTAGCCACCAAACACAGCAATAATATATCAAAAGTCTGTACTGACCTGAGGGGCTAAGAGTAGAGATGGGCCTCACAGAGCTAGGCACATTCTCTCCAAGATCCTCTTGGGAACAATTGTTTGTATTTCTAAGAATATTGTTCAGAGATGAGAAGATAGCTTTTTGATACAGAACAGAGAACTAAGCCCAAACAGCTTTTGGGGAAACTAACAGGCCCAACCTCCCAGATCTACTAGATTGTAAACAAGGTTTTCTTTAAACATGTCATCTCAGACATCATGGCAATGACTCAGAAAGAGTCCCAGGACACAACTAGTTTCCCTAATCCCTTCTGATGGGTTGTGCACATACTACAACTCCAATGGCACTAAGGATCCAAGAATGATGCTTCATTTTTCCTTCTAATCCAAAAGCCTATGGAAATGGACATCGGATACAATAGAAAAAACCTCAGGGTTAAAAAACCAAGAAATTAAGTTTTCAAGTCTGGCTCTGCCTCAAATGAGCTGTGGGAGATGGGGTGACTCAGTGTGAGTTCCTTTGCACATCCATTTCCTGAGCCAGGAAATAAGGATAATGCCTGTCTTATTTATTTTGTGTGTTGTCGTGATGCTAAAACAAAAATAATGAGTGTTTGAGAGCTTTCAACTTTGAAGTTTACAAAAGCAGAAAACTCTGTATACTGGTTATCAGTATTAAAAGACTATTTGAGCTCCCCCATGTCCCTGCCTTGTGTATTTCTCTATCTCCCCTGTGAACTTCTGAAATAAAAGGTCTAAATCAGTGAGAGGGATTGAGAAAATAGAACAAGGGAGAGGTAAAAATCAATCCATCTCTGGTTCTACATAAGCACCTGTCTCCAGAGTAATGAACTTTTGTAATCAGGGATAGGTAAAAGGCTTTTGTTTTTCATTTTGAGAGCCAGAAAAACAAGGTATGACACAATATGCAAATACGTCTCTGGGCAGCGTAACATGGTATTCAGACAGACCCTACTGGGTCTGACAGGAACAGATCTGGCAGCTCCTGTGGAGCAGCCTTGGGCTGCAGCACTTTGGCCAGGGTGCCACCTCACCTCTGTGGCAGCAACTTGTCTCCAGCCAGGTAGCCAGACTTGTGCACCTCCTTATTGAAGTCGCCGTACTTGGACTGGACAGCATAGGAGGCCAGAAGCACAGCAGTTTCAGGTGGGCAATAAATATCATCATTGAGAATACCCTCTTTCACTTGCAGAAAGAACAGGCGCTGGGTGATATCCTGGATCAATTCCTCAGATACATCCTCAGGATAGAACTTGGCCCGGAACTTGAAGAGCAGGGGGCTTTCCTTCCGCACATCCTGTGCGGTCACCTGAGAACAGCAAAAAATAGTTATAAGGTAGAGAGAAGACACTAAAAGGTCATCAATTTGGGTAATCCCAGAGAGCTGGGAGGTAACCCTGTTGATAATTTCAAAAAGAGACATATTACTTTCATTAGGGATCCCATCTCAGATCCATAATCATCACCTCTTGTTAGGAATTTCTTCCTAACATCCACTTATGATCAGAAACCAACATTTTCTGACAACATATCCAACTGGCCTCAGAGTCTAAGGGATGGCTTTAAAGAGCTTTTTTTTTCAGGCTCCTGTAGCTCCATAAACTAGCCATGTAAAGACTAGGCAATATGAGTGAGGCCTAGGAATTGGCTAGGCAAGAGCACAAACTAAATCTTCTTTTAAAACCTGAAATTTCCTCCTAATGGTTTTGCATTTGTCCAGCAAAAGTCTCAGCTCTTTGGGAAAACAAAACTCTACCAGCAGAAAGTGGGTACCTCCTATACACAATCAGGGAAATAACCTCAGCCCTGTATGGAGAACTCTAAGGACAGTCAGCCAGTTTGAACACAATGAAATGGAGGACTACTAGGTTTCTGAAGAGATGATACTTGGGGCAGAGAGCTTGATTAGGCTCAAATCATCCCATGTGGAGTCCAACTGAGAGAGAAGATCAAGAAAGAGGGAAGCGTCTGTATGGATAAGACATCAGTAGACCAGTGGAAGAGGGGCAGCCTAAGATTGACATCTTTAAGATTTTTTTTTCAGTTCCAAAGTCTATAGCTAGGGTGGGGATGTAGCTCAAGTGGTATAGTGCTTGCATAGCAAGCGTGCCTTAGCAAGCACAGGGCCCCAAGTTGAAACCCCAGTACTGCAAAAAAAAAGTCTATGGCTCTCTTTTTTAACAAATCTAAAGCCCTTGAAAAGAAGAAAGGTGTAGCAATCCCCCCTTGAAGAATCACTAATAGCTTTGATCTAAAACAAGTCAAATTAAACACAGAGCTTCCAGTGGAAAGGAAAGGGTCTCCTCTCCCTTGAACACAGCCATTCTCACTGGCAAAAGTCAAATGGAGACAGAAACAAGAGCTTTGCCTTGGCCAAGTCCTCTTCCCTTATTCTGACCAAGGGGGTCAACAGACCACCCAGTGACAAACAGAGCCTTAGGTATCCCAGGTTTGCTAGCTAACACATGTTATCCCCCTGAGTATGTTCTGTTGGAGGAAGGAATTCCATACCCAGCAGAGGAGTAAACAGTTACCTTCTTATTGAGTTTCAGCCAAGTGGAGAAACCCTTAGTGTCTTGGTACTGTAGCCCAAAGAACCAAACTTCCCTCAGGCCAATAGTTTTCACCACCTGGAAGAAAAGACACGAAACAATCATTGGTTGAATGCCTACCCTGTGCCAGGCAGAGGGAACACAATGGTGGAGTCAATCTAGTCTCTGCCCTTAAAGGGTTTATTAAGATACTCAAGATCTGAAGAAGATACACTTGGGCAGCAGTCAAGGACTGATGTCATATGCAGAATCCAGATTTTTTTAAAAACATGAGAGTAGAAGGGGGTCAATTTAGGAAGAGGCAGAGGACCAGTGGGAAGGGGGAGGGAGGATAAGAGAAGGTAATGGGGTAAATATGATTAAAGTACCTTATATACATGTATGGAAAGGTTATAATAAAGCCCATTATTTTGTATAATATATGCTAATAAAAAATTTTAAAAACTAATGTCAGCAGCTCTGCATCAAAGTACTACTGTGAAGTAGAAAAATGATCTATTACTTAAGAGCACTACCACACACCAAGAAACTTACATTTGTTATCTTCTTTAATTTTCACAGTAGTCCTATGATATAATCAGGCACATTTTTTAGATAGTAAAAGTGAAACTCAGAGAGATTAAAGGATTTGCCTAGTGAGTGGCAGAGTCATATCCAGTACTTCATGCCATCTCCTCTCTCCCCCTACAATGCCTTGTAGCTGTCTATGCACTGAAGGCTGCAGGCAGAGATTGTTGGGTTAAATTTCTGCTTCTTGGTCTCCTGGGTTACTCCCATATAGTGTCCTTTATCTTTCTATGTTTATCCATTTATTATAAAGGGTATTACAAAGGATATAGATAAATAATCAGAAGAGATGAAAAGAGTGAGCAATAGGAGAAGGAATGCAGATCTTCTTTGTCTTCAAGCACACCCATCCTTCAGGAACCTCCACATGTTCAGCTATACAAAAGCTCCCTAAGTCCAGGCCTTTGGGTTTTTAGGATTATCATGTGAGCATAACTGATTGGATTATAAGTCACTGATACCATCAACTCAATTCTTTTATCTTTAGAAATTGGGAGTAATGCCCACACCCTTAAGACTGAGTCCTGTTTACAATATCCAAAGAAAGAACATCTGAGAAGACAAAGCAGGGACTTTGGTATCTATACATCCCAAAGCTATGTTGACCCTGAGTGCTGAGATGCTTCTCTTCAGGCCTTGTTAGAGCCGAATCCCGATTCCCTTTACTATTAGCACAGGTTAAGCGTAGGAATGGTGGGTACCTCAGTGAAATAGCTGAGGAGCTCCCTGCTGCCCTGGGCCTCTTGGCTGAGCAGTGGGCAGGAAAGAGAAGCCTGCCAGGAAAACACAGATGGGGTCTGTTCTTCAGTCCCTGACATAAGCATGTCAATGGTCTGTCAGTTCAACCGTGGCATGCCACCACTGGGATAATGGCAATGAAGCTGAGCCACATCCTGATGAGGTCAGGCTAACTTCAAGCAGTCTCCTTTAGCTTTTCTTTTGGTGGAGGAAAGGATGGAAATGAGGTTTAGGGTGAGGTTAGTAGGGATCCTAAGTGAGAGATAACTGGAGAGGAGAAGCAAACAACATGGACCTGAAGCTAATGATGTCCTTCCCTGTGAACCAATTATTTCCCTTCAAAACACAAGCATGCAACATGTGTGTGCAAATGCAAAACACACCATAACAACACCCATCACTGTTGCCACTGAGTTTCTACTATTATCCAGAGCAGGTCCCAAGGAATATCCAGAGCTTGAAGTCTACACCTTCAGGGCCCCCAAAGAAAAAGAAGCCATATTTTATGAGCCTCTATGTGCCAGAAACTGAACACAAAACAACCCTGTAAGATAGCTATTACTTCACTTTATAGATGAAGATACTAATGTTTAGAGGGGCCACCTGCCTAATATCACAGAGACATCGATGGGTCTGACTGCAAAGTCTGTACCCTTTCTTCTCTGGAATGCTGTCTCCTAATGCCAAAAGCTCAAAGGAACTCAGGGCTCCTAGGATTCCCAAGTGACTAACTGCCTTGTCTTTACTTTGGCCTAAATATCCCATCAATATAATGAACTTTGACTACCTCTGCATGCTATATGCCTTTTGGATTTTCTACTAGTCCCAGGCAATAATGTTAGGTATCGGGAAAACTGAACAAAAGTCTCACTTCTGTCTGTGTCTCCAACTTGCTGTGTGATCTTAAGGGCAGTACATGTCCCGTCTCTGTGCCTCAACACTCTCA